ACCCAAGAAACTATATCAGATAGTGATTATCAAATATATCTCAATGATGCTAAAAACTTTAAGAATAGATTAGAATATTTTATTCATTATTGCAATAAAGACGTTGAAATTATGATTGACCCAATTGATAAAATTATTGAAGAAACATTTGTTTATAAAATTGACATGCTTCATAATCTTTCTTTATCATCGAATGCATCAATGATTCGTTACGCGTTAGCATATAAGAACTTCAATCCTAATGAAACATATCCAGAAGAAGAAAATGTGGAATCAAGTTTTGAATTAACGAAAAAGTATTGGAAATATAAAATTGAATCATAAAGAAACAAGATGAAAAAGCGAAAGGGATACTAAAAATAATGTTTCAATGGATGACTATCAATACTATCACGATTTAATCCTTTCATCTAAATGCAAAATGTGTGGTAAAGCGTTTACATATGCTAATAAACCAACATTGGATAGAATCGATAATGAAAAACCACATACCAAAGAAAATTGTCAGTTAATGTGTTGTTATTGCAATGTCGTAAAATCAAATAAAGATGAAGATGTTCAACGTTTAAGAATCAATTTAAGAATTATGCATTAAAAAATAATTTACAATGACTTTTAGATTCAGTTGAAGCTTATCACATTCTCCGTAATGGAATTACTGGTGGTCTATCAAATGTTCAACATCGTGTTAATCTTAAAGGAATCACGCACATTAATAAACTTTCATATAATCCAGAAACTAAAACTGTATCAAATGAGGACACCACCAACATTATGACTCATTTCGTTGGAGTTGACTTTAATTCATTATATCCTTCATCATTTTCATCTAATCCTCATGATTTCATTCAATATACTGACCATAAAATGTATATGCCGGGAAGATTGAATGGTGTTATCATTTGTGATACAGCAACAAAGAAAGCAAAAGCACTGGGAATAATTAGAAAGAAAAATACTTTATTCGTGCTGAAGTAAAGGGTCACATTGATGAAAAATACATTAATGATTACATAAACTTTTTTACCAATAATAAGAAACTTAGATATTATCACAGATGAAAAAACAATTGGCAGTTTTATGTATAATTACATGAAATCAAACAATCTACCAGTTGACCAGAAACAGAGAAAATTAACTCAGTTAGCATCAACACACAACCAATATCAACCATTTTTCTTATTATCTTTGGTATCTAATAGACAGATTTCATTTTATCATTGATGATATTCAATCAATTTTAACATTTACGAAAAACACTTGCTTTAATGAATTTGCGAACGAATTTATGAAACGAAAGACAAAAGGCTGAATTAGAAGGAAATAAAGGAAAAAGTTTATTTTGCAAGATTTCACTTAATGGATCATATGGTTACGATGCAATGAATACACAAAATTACGCAAAGACTAAAATAATGAATGCACAGAAGGCACGCGTTGCATGTATGTCAAATAAGTTTAAAACATAAGAGAAATAGGTGAAGATACGTATCAAGTGATGCTTAAGATAGATTTTATAGATGTGATACATGTTTACAAAGGCATTCTTCACTTTAGATAACGCAAAATACTGGTATTTGGTTTTCATTTATGATTTTATGTATAAATGCATGAATGTTAATCGTTTTCATTTCATTGAAGGTGATACTGATTTCTTATTGGGCAATCGCTGGCGACCCAAATCTTCCTAACACTCAAGCATTTCAAGCAATTGTTACTGATAAACAATTTTATGATAAAAACATTTACAAATTCGCACCTTTTGATTTTTTTGTTTTAATGAGAAATTTAAACCTAAATTAAAGAATAAAGCTGAAGAAAAAGCACATGAAGAAGAAGTTATTGGTTTAGCAATTGAGAAACAAGGTGATAACATGGTTGCTTTATGTCCTAAGTGTTATACATCATTCAACGGTTCAATTGATGGAAAGTGATTTTAAAAAGATTGCACAAAAATGAAAGGTGTTAGTTTACGACAAATAAACAATTAAACCTAAAATTATTTGGATATAATAAATGATAAAGTTATTTTCGATGGTCAGAATATTAATTTACAACTTAAAAACAGGTCAATGACTCGCTTAACAATTGGTAAGAACTGCATTAACAGGAGCACACACTAAGGCTGTATGTTGTGAAAATGGATGTTGTATGCCATTATTTAATAAAATGCCACAGAAGAGACAAAAGGAACCGTTAATGATGGCTTTGATTCTTGATCAAAGAGGTGGGCACCCTTAAAACATTGATTTTATTTTTATATAAATGAATAACACAGATTTAAAAATTTAATTGCTGATTAGTACTTAATCAAAAATTTCTTAGTTATTATGAATTAAAATCATATCTCCAAAAATTATAATAATAATATAACGGGTGATGATATGGAATATTATTATCCATATTATAAAATGAAATTTTGAAATATCATGATAGAATAATTTCTGAAATTAAAGACAAAATTAAAATAATGAATATACAAAGGGAAAAAAAATCACAACTTAAACAGTTGAAAGATTTCAAAAATAAAGTATTAACAGAAGAAGATATTGATGAATTATATAAATTATATAATCCTGAGCCACAAAAACAAAAGGAACAAAACACCCAGGTCCTTCAGACTATAAATGATGCACAAGCCTTAATTTATGATTCATTAGTTAAACCATATTCAGCCCGACTTTTAAATGAAGATCAACTTTTGGAATTCATCCTTCAACATAAACTCGAAGCGGGAAAGTATATCAAACCTTTATATACAGCATATTTAAAACAAATGAATAAAATACATCCAGAATTAATGAAGGGAGGATTGAATTCCAAAATCAAAGCAGATAAAATTAAACCACTTGCAACACCAAAAACTCCAACGACAGTACCGCCTCCTCCTTCAGTTAATCCTTCATCATTCACTTTATTATATCCATTTCAAACATTAAAGAAGCAAAAAGATTTTAAAAAGTGTTTCAAGATATTAAATAAACCAATTGACCCAAAAATTCAACCATTAAAGGAAAAATTTAGTCGCCCCTCATTTGCACCATATCCATATTCATACGAAATTGATCATTTAGAATATTCAAAAGGAAACGTTACTTATTTATTTGCCATTAACATTAACACTAGATATTTATATTGCATTCCAGTGAAAGGGAAAACAGAACAGGAAACAAGAAGAGCTATTCAATACTTACTAGATCATGAAAGAGTAGATAATATAAGGGGTGATGGTGATAAAGGATTTCAGGCAGCTATGGCTCATTATTTCCCACAAATTAATTTTTACTTTTCATCCTCTCCATATACGTTTCATAATAAAATAGTTGATGCGGTAATGAGAACTCTTAGAGATGCGTTAGGGGTTAACGGTCAGATATACTGGGATGGAAATCATGACTCCATCATACAGCAGTTAGTATATTATTACAATAATACATGGCATAGAACTATAAACATGAAACCAGTGGAAATGAAAAATGATATTTCAAAAGAATGGGAATATATTAGAAAGCAAATGGAAAAGTTAAATGATGTTAAACGTGGACAAATTAATTCGGGGCTCATGAATTTTAAACAAGGAAATAAAGTTTTAATTCATCTCGATTATGGAAAAACTGATAAATCAATGACAAAAAGAAGACGAAGATTTGACACAATAGCTGAATTTGTTAGATATATTAACGGCAATGCATTAGTTGAAGTTGACAATAAATTAATAGAAATTCCGATTTATTTTATTACTCCATTATATTTAAATAATATTTAATTTTTTTTTATTTCGTAAGAAATGAGTGACAACAAAGCAGTCAAGAGTCCAGACAATGAATATAAAAAGAAACTAAACAGAATTAAATCAAAAATATGCTATTACAAAAAGAAGTCGCAATGCGGTGGGGTTGAAAACGATAAAGAAATAATCGAAAAATTAGAAACTTACCGTTCAATCATTAAACTGAGTGAAGCAAAAATAAAAGAATTTAATAGAATAAATAAATTGATTGGAAGAGATGAATTTAATAAAGATGAATTTTTAAACTCTATCCAAATTTAATTTTTATTCCTCTTCGACAACATCTCTCTTTCCATCATTACTGCATAACCACATTTTCTCAATTTTAGTGGTTTGTTATTTTTAACATGTTCTTGCATAATTTTTATCATTTCCTCCCTTGTTATGATTCGTGGTAAATTTTGAGCTTGTGGGGTATTCATTTAATGATAAAAATAAAAATTTAAATTATGCCGTTCTAAAGTTTGTGACAACATGACATTTTGACAACATCACAGGAGGAAGGCAGTTATGAATTATTTTTGAAGAACTGAAGGTGCTACCATGTTACCATGTGCTACCAGGTCATTTAACTTCTTTTAAAAAGTGTGACAACATGACATTTTGACAACATCACAGGAGGAAGGTAGTTATGAATTATTTTTGAAGAACTGAAGGTGCTACCATGTTACCATGTGCTACCAGTCATTTAACTTCTCTGAAAAAGTGTGACAACATGACATTTTGACAACAACACAGGAAATGATTTGTCATGACTTCATCGGAATGAGTGTAAATGACCCAAAAATAAAGTTAGTTTTAAAATTATTTTTATTTTTATTTTGTATGTAAGAACAGAAATGTCAGTCGAAGCAAAAACATTCACTAACAAATCTAATGGCGAAACATTCACAAAAGGCACTTATACCGGTATTGAAGTCTTACGTAGAGACAAGGATGGTTACATTAATGCAACAAAAGATGGCAAGAGAAGCAGGAAAGTTAAACCATGTTAAACAGATTTCTCAATAGTGCTAAAATACAGGAAATTCTTGAGTTTTGGATGAACGAATACGGTGGAGCCAAAAGTGGCTCGACCTCAAAACAAGCATTTTATGAGCTTACTAAGGGTGTTATAAATGAATTCAAAGGTATTTACATACATCCTGACCTCGTTCATTTTGTTGCTGAATGGTGCTCTGTAAAGTATGCATTTTATGTCAAAGATATTATGGACTCCATAGACAAGAAAGTTCATGAGAAGTTAGATGAAGAAGAACTTGAAGATACAGTAGAGAATGCTAAACCTTTGTTCGAACAAGAAGTTGGAAAAATGTGCGAAAAACAATTAGAACATGAACGTGAGTTGTGTTATGGTTATAGAGATTCTCCATACGAACTAGACCAATGGGAACAAGAAAATTTAAAGAGAGAATTTAGAGAATATGAACTCGCTAAGATAGCATTAGAAGCTGCAGAAAAGAAGTTAAAAGCTTGGGGTTGTTTTGTACAAAAATATTGTGAGTAAATGAACCATTTATTTTTATTGAATTCACCAAAAATAATTTTTAGGGTAGATGGTTAGATCTAACCTCATTTCTAACCTCATGACATTATGTCAACAACACAGGAGGAAGGCAGTTATGAATTATTTTTGAAGAACTGAAGGTGCTACCATGTTACCATGTGCTACCAGGTCATTTAACTTCTTTTAAAAAATGTGACAACATGACATTTTGACAACATCACAGGAGGAAGGCAGTTATGAATTATTTTTGAAGAACTGAAGGTGCTACCATGTTACCATGTGCTACCAGGTCATTTAACTTCTTTTAAAAAGTGTGACAACATGACATTTTGACAACATCACAGGAGGAAGGCAGTTATGAATTATTTTTGAAGAACTGAAGGTGCTACCATGTTACCATGTGCTACCAGGTCATTTAACTTCTTTTAAAAAGTGTGACAACATGACATTTTGACAACATCACAGGAGGAAGGTAGTTATGAATTATTTTTGAAGAACTGAAGGTGCTACCATGTTACCATGTGCTACCAGGTCATTTAACTTCTCTGAAAAAGTGTGACAACATGACATTTTGACAACAGTCCTGGAAATATGATGCAGTCCAAAAATAAAGTTAGTTTTAAAATTATTTTTATTTTTTTATTTCTATATAAATGACGGCAACAAACAACAACAGCAACTATATCGTTTCTGATGAAAAAGTTATTGATTCATTAGTTGCGGAATTAGTTGTGGCAGAAACTAAAACCCTCAACGAAAGAATTGGTGAAAACAAGATTGATTTACATAACTACCTCAAACATGATGGAGGAAGAGGAAGGAAAACTGGTACAGCTTTATTAGTAAATAAAATTTCAAATTTAACGATTATAGATGTTGATATCAATAAATCATACAATGATGAACTTAAAGAAACAGTTAGAAAAGACATTTTATCAAAACTTTCGGATAAAGATGTTATCGTTAAAACCGCTTCAGGAGGTCTTCACATTTATTGCAACACTAATTTCTTCTATTCAACCTCGAACAGAATGATTACATGTTATTCCTGCAATGATTATGATATTGACATAATGACTTCTATGGCTGATTCAAAGCGTTCATTAGTGGTTATGGCTGATTCAAGAGTTCGCAAGAATGCAACAGAACCAATCAATACATACTCATTCATTCGTGGAAGTTATGATTCAACATTAACTAGAACAGTGAATGATATATTAAATGATTTGAATATTAAGGTAAGAGTTGAACAGAAGAGCGAAGAAATAAAGAGTATAATGTATGAAAACAAAGATGTAAACATTGACGATAAACTAGCTCAGAGCATAGTTGATGGCATCTGTGATTTTGAAGTACATAATGACGGTGGAAACATGAATTTAGAAAAAGAAATAACATTATTCACACTGTTTCAAGCAATTAATTCGTTACCTAATCATTTAATTAATGAAGCATACGATAACGTTTATAACTTCTGCAGTTTAACAGAAAATGCAAAAAGTAATTTTGAAAAAGCACGTAGTAGATATGCACATTTAATGACTTCTCCATTTGTTTTGGTGAAGATTCTAAAACTATATCAAAAGGAATATTATGATGAATACGTTTTACCTTTATTACGTAAGCCAAAAATAACATTTGATATAAAACTTGATGATTCATTTTTGATAACAGATATTAGACACAAGGCTGAAAATCATCAGTATAAAAACAGTTCTGAAGTAATTGAGGATTTATCACGTGTAATCCGTTTTGTAGATTGTGGAAACAAATACTTCATTCAGAAAGATTACAACATACACGACAAAATGAATCAAATATCATTCGTTCTTCAATCAAACATGAAAGAGTCACTCAAAATGATTAAATTATTTAAAGAAGAAGGTAAAACAATAACAGCATGGGACGTACTATTAAATCAATTATCCTCATTAACCGTTAAGGGTGTTTGCTTTAAATCTGATTCTCCAGATGTTTTCTCAACGTTTCAGGGTTATAAATACAACATTCTTGAAAAGCCTGATTACTCAAAAATTGAGATGTTTATGGATTTCATTAAAGAAGCCATTTGTGATAATAATGATGAAGTGTATAAATACCTACTCGGCTGGATTGCATCAATGATTCAACATCCTGGAATCAAGAATGAAACAGCAATTATTTTGAAAGGACTTCAGGGAACAGGTAAAAACAGATTTACAGACATTATTTCTGAACTTCTCGCTGGTTATTCATGTAAAAACATTACTGAAATAAGTGAGCTAACGGGTAATTTCAATTCGGTTGTTGAAAATAAAATGTTTCTTGTACTTAATGAACTCAAGAATGTAGGTGAAGACAGACTCGCAAACTTCAACGCTTTGAAATCAATTATTACGGATAATGAGATTAGAATTAATGAAAAGAATCAACCCAGAAGAACTGCTCAGAATGTTGCAAACTTCATTTTCGTAACTAATAACGTTTACCCTGTCAAAATTGATGTTGGAGACAGAAGATACGTAGTTTTAAGAGTTAATGGTAAATTCAAGGGTCAATTTGATTACTTCAAGAATTTAATGGATTCATGCACTAAGGAATTTTATGATAATTTACTGACGTATTTTATGCAATATGACCTTTCATCATTTAATGTACGAATCATACCGATGACTGAAGCCAAACAAGATTTAATAGAATTATCAACAAATCCTTTAGATGTATGGATAAATACACATTATGATGAATTGTGTGCAGGTATGACGTGTGAAAATGCTCTATTCTGCAAACCATCAGACATGAAAGACAAGAATTTCCAAATGAGTATTAAGGATAAATGTGATAGGAAACATAGAAGAATAGACGGTAAACAAACATGGTGTTATGTTTTGAAAGAAGAAATGAAAGGATTATATAAACAGGTTGAACCAAACGATAATGAGGATTCATTTACTGACGATGAAATACCTGTGAATGAAGCTTTATAAAGTATGATTTGAATTTATTTTTGCATTAATCCTCCTATGTTGTCAAAATGTCATGAGTTAAATGACCTGGTAACATGGTAGCACCTTCAGTTCTTCAAAAATAATTCATAACTGCCTTCCTCCTGTGTTGTTGTCAAAATGTCATGTTGTCACACTTTTTAAAAGAAGTTAAATGACCTGGTAGCACATGGTAACATGGTAGCACCTTCAGTTCTTCAAAAATAATTCATAACTGCCTTCCTCCTGTGTTGTTGACATAATGTCATGTTGTCAACATGGTAACATGGTAGCACCTTCAGTTCTTCAAAAATAATTCATAACTGCCTTCCTCCTGTGTTGTTGTCAAAATGTCATGTTGTCACATTTTTTAAAAGAAGTTAAATGACCTGGTAGCACATGGTAACATGGTAGCACCTTCAGTTCTTCAAAAATAATTCATTATTGAATAACCTGTAAACATTAACGTAAACATTTATTTCTGCAGTTCATTCATTACTTCATTACCTAATTAATTACAAACATAAAATATATTTAGTTCATTCAATAAATGCGGTACCATGCGAATACAGTCATAAATGGTGGCATATAATCTTTACCCAAGCCTGTTTGATTTGTTGTGAAAGTATGTGAATGATTTCCTCCTGGTTCAGTTGGTCGAAAAGTCTTTTTTGCTGAATGGTTATAATCTGGAGATAAAACGTCATTGCCAGCATAATATTCTGAGTTGTATAATGGATGGTCTCTTAATGAGTGACTATGGTCACCAGAAAAGTTTGTAGTTCCTGTATGAGTGTGCGGTGGAAGGTTTGCTTCAGTAATTTTCTTCGAACCTCCTGTTTCCTTTGAACTATTAGCACAATACAAAAACCTGTCAACTATTTGTTCCCATGCACCAACACCAAACATTACTTGAGGACCTCTTGCATCCATAGATGTATAAATAGAACCCACTGGGTTCATTAAATCAAACATATGAGATATTATAGGATTGTCTCTTTTGAACTTAAGATATAGTGTAACTATTTCAGGTTTCTTCTGGTTTGTGTCAGAATATTTTTTATAATATATTCTTATGTTTTCAGGGTAGGTAAAATCTTGACTATAATATTTATTTCTGTCATCTGTATAATAATATACTATTCTCGTTTTTTCTATTGCATTATATCTTTTATATCTATAATAATCTAAATATAATGTTAACTTTTGTTCATCTATATGTGGTGTTCTGACATCATCTCCATAGTCATAATAATATGGTGCTGGAGCTGGGTCAGGCAATGTCATATCTGCCATTTCATAAACTCTTAAATATTTCTTTTGTTCGTCTCCATATAAGTTTAAGTAACAGTTGTTGTCTAATGGAACTTTAACTTGTGTGTCATCATTCTTTTTATAACTTACATACATTTCATTGTTATTTTTCGGAATGAGTTTCCACCGTATACCATTTTTTAAGGAGTGTACAAACTGCCATCTAAAATATTTATTTTCTTCATTGACAGAAAAGTCACCAACAATAGTTTCAATATTTTTTGTTCCTATCAAACTTTGGTATATTTCGTTAACATATGTTTTATCTGCCTTCTTCATTAACTCATCGTTAACATATTCCTTATCTACCTTCTTCTCTAACTCATCGTTAACATATGTTTTATCCGCTTTAAGGTCTAAACATCCTGAAACCCATCCTGTCTCAGCTTTAGTTTTTAAAATCTTTGATGTCCATTCATGATACCATTCAACCATTTCTTTAATTTCATTATCTTTTTCATCCACATATTCCTTATCTGCTTTCTTCTCTAACGCAGCAGCAACACATTCCTCATCAGCTTTAGTTTTTAAAATCTTTGATGTCCATTCATGATACCATTCAACCATTTCTTTAATTTCATTATCTTTTTCATCCACATATTCCTTATCTGCTTTCTTCATTATGTCATTTAGGAAACCTTTTATGAATTCCTCATTTAAATTAAATCTTCCAATCTTCAAAACTTTAGGAAATGCATTTAATGCGTAATATCTTTGTTCTTC